CATCATTGTGTGGGGCTATACAGAAGAAGAAGTTTTTAAGAAGGGACAGAAAATAATGCAAATCCTTCTGAGAGCCTCCCATAAAACGAAGCAAGGTCAAGGCACCTGCACAGGAGATCCAGTTTTTAGGAATAAAATGGCAAGATGGATGTCATCAGATCCCCATGGATGTGATTAATAAAATAACAGCTACGTCTCCACCAACTAACAAAAAGGAAGCACAAGCCCTCTGAGGCGTTGGGGGTTACTGGAGAATGCACATTCTAAATTACAGTGAGATCGTGAGGCCTCTCTGCCAAGAGACCTGAAAGAAAAATGATTTCACGTGGGGCCCTGAGCAACAAGAAGCCTTTGAACTAATCAAACAGGAGACAGTCCATGCAGTAGCTCTTGGGCCAGTCCGGACAGGACAAGACATTAAAAATGTGCTCTACAGCACAGGCGGAGACAATGGACTAACCTGGAGCCTCTGGCAGAAAGCACCAGGGGAGACTCGAGGTCAAACCTTGGGGTTTTGGAGTCAGGGATACAGAGGATCAGAGACCCGATACACTCCAACTGGAAAGGAGTTATTGGCAGCGTGTGAGGGAGTTTGAGCTGCTTCAGAAGTGACCGGTACTGAAGCACAGCTCCTCCTGCTGCCCCGACTGCCCGTGCTGGGCTGGATGTTCAAAGGGAACGTCCCCTCTACACACCACGCAACTGATGCCACATAGAGTAAGTGGGTCATACTGATCACACAGCAGGCTTGAATTGGAAGCCCCAGTTGCTCAGGAAATTTGGAATTTATTACAAACTGGCCAGAAGGCAAAAATTTTGGAATGTCACCTGAGGAGGAGGTGACATGAGCTGATGAGGCTCCACCATAAAATGAACTGCCAGATAATGAGAAGCAATATGCCTTGTTCACTGATGGGTCCTGTCCTGTTGTAGGAAGACATCAAAAGTGGAAAGCTGCTGTGTGGAGTCCCACCAGATGAGTCGCTGAGGCTGCTGAAGGAGAAGGCGAATCGAGCCAGTTTGCAGAAGTAAAAGCCACAGTACTCCATGATCTACTTGCCAATCCATGCACTTCATAATTTTACAGAAACAAAACTAGTTATGAGCACCTCTGCAGCACTGAGTTTGATTGACTCAAATTAAAAAAAGAGATCAATTGCAGAAAAAGAATTTTAAAAAGCATCTTGCAAGTTTTCTCAGCTAGTGAAGAAAAATCTTATTGATACTTGGTACTTTGAGCTTTTTATTTAAAACTCAGCTATCATATTAAATACTGTGAGATTGCTTTCTCGTTATTAGCTCTCTTTCTGAAATAATAAAAAACCCCTCTTTACTGAAATAAGGAGAGAAATTTTATCATCATTAAATTCTAGCAAACATCATGTTTCCTTTTGCCAAATACACTGCACTAACATAACCAAGACTAAATTTTGACCTACAATGAAAAAGACACTGAGCTATTTGTTTCTGCTTCCTGGTTATGCATCCACAAGGTCTGAAAGCTTCTCTCCATCATGAAAACCCAGCATTTTGTTAACAGCAATTACTTCACAATTATCAAGAATGGCAGAACTCATCCTTTGTTTTGGGCTGACTGACTCTCATATAACCCATGTTTGCAAAGAAGCTTCTCTCAAGTTACAGGTATAGGATTTCCAGCATCAGAGGAGCTTAACACAGCCTTTATGACTGTGTAGTCCCTTCTTGCAGGTTCAAATTACAACAGTAACACAAGTATTTAAGACAAAGCAAACCCCCCCAAAACATTAGTATTTTTGTCAAAGCTAAATTTCAATCACTTTTCATATTTATACAATGTATTCTTTTACAAATCATTGTCATTAAGATTCTTCTTTCCCCAAATCTTCCTCCAAACAATTCTGATTGCCATGCTGGTTTTTTGTTTTGTTTTGGGTTTTTTTTAAAGAACCTTCATTTTCTCTTGTATCGTGTCAACAGGGACCTACAGGAAGGCTGGGGAGGGACTTTTTACAAGGGTAGGTAGTGACAAAACAAGGGCCAATGGTTATAAACTGGAAGAGGGCAGGTTTAGATTAGATATTAGGAAGAAATTGTTTCCTGTGAGGGTGGTGAGACACTGGGACAGGCTGCCGAAGGAAGTTGTGACTGCCCCCTCCCTGGAAGTGTTCAAGGTCAGGTTGGATGAGGCTTTGAGCAACCTGATTTAGTGGAAGGTGTCCCTGCTGATAGCAGGGGGGTTGGAACTGGTTGATCTTTAAGGTCCCTTCCAACCCAAACCATTCTATGATTACAGATCAGAAATCAGGCTACATTTAATGTTTGGATCCTAAAAAACAACTCAAGTTGAAAGAAACAAAATTTCATCATAACTGATACCTGAAAACACCACAGGTTTAGAAGACTGTTTTGACTTCTCTGTTTGCTGCTTCTGCTCCAAGACTGCCAGCATGCCACCCAAATCCAATTGCACGGGAATTTGACTCTTCTTCCCACTGCTCCTGGACGTTTCCTGAACAAGTTCAGTACCAATCAGTAATGCTCTCTATTTCAGAATGTAAAGACTGTATTTTGTATAGTGTGTAATACATTCAACATCTTAATCCACGATATTTTTGATTTTCAACTTCATTTAATGAAAGTATTTTGATCTTTAAATACACATCAACTTTAATGTGAAAAATATAGTCAGAAATTATTTGAATAACTTTTGAATAGTTTTTAGAATAAAGCATAAAAAGTATAAAGTCCTTAATAAAGGAGGTGCTTCATGTCAGGCTCCCACTTTGGTGACACCGCCATGTATCTCTAAAAAAGAAAAAAGGCTTACCAGAATTGGAAGTTTTTGTTAAAAGTACAGGTAAACCACCCTGTGAATCTTCCAGGGTATTTGATTACAGTACACATATATCATTATCTTAAATGCCTTATTAAAAAGAGAGGTCATCATCTTTAAGCACCATCTCCTTAAAAGCAATAATCTTTCTGTCTGCTTTGAAGAGAAGGCGAAAGCAGTGTCCCACACTTGGCACCACATTTAATGATTCAGAATATAAAATACTACAAATGAATAGTCTAGCAAAGACTACAAAAGGGCAAACTAAGACAGCATGCTCAGGAAGTGACTCCCAGATTTGTATTTTTAGAGTTTTTATCCTGAAGGATCAATTCATTACTGCTTCTGTTACAACAGGGTTAAGGAATGTGACCTGCTCCTTCTGAGCCTAGGATCTCATCTTGCATTAGAGCTATGCCAGAACCTACTCATCAACATGGAATTACTTAGTCACCTCACTGTTGCTCCATATTTCTTCTCCTTGCCCCAAGACAAGTGGATCTCCTTGCCTCCTTGTCTTAATCTAACAGAACCACTTTTAAGAGGTTCCCAATGTCTTAAGACAATCAGTTTGGATCAGATTTATGCCATGATAAATAAGGCAGATGAAAAAAATTCCTGGTATTTGAAATTCACAGACATTAATGAAGAGGGCTAGCAATTACCACCACTGAGTGCTTCTAATCAAGAGGATCCTGTCACTTATCTCAAAGTATGAATAACAAAATACGAACACAATCACAGATGAGCTTGGACTTAGTCTTATATTTAAATATGCTAATTTCCTTTGTCATTTTGAGTTGCAACGTATTTTCAAACAGGAATTAATTTACCTGCATTTTCTTTCTTTCAGATACAGAAGACGAAGCAGGCTTCCCTGACAGCACATCCACCCTGGGAGTTCCATCCAGTGTGAGAGATCGACTATCCCAAGGCTCTCCAGGGAGATGGATCTTTGAAATTTAGAGACAAAAGGTGACAAGAAGGAAGAGTAAATATTTAAAGACACATGGAACAGGGTAAAGTGAAGATGGTATTAAATTCAAATGGAATATAGACAGTGTGACTGTGTGCACCCTCAGCAAGTTTGTGAGTGACACCAAGCTGAGTAGTACAGTTGATATGCTTCAGTGAAGGGGATGCCATACAGAGTGACCTTGACAGGCTTAAGGAGAGGGCCTGTGTGAACCTCATAAAGTTCAACAAGGCTAACTGCAAGGCTATGGACCTGGGCTGGGGCAATCCTCAGTCAGTACAGGCTGGGGGATGAAGGCATTGAGAGCAGCCCTGCAGAGAGGGACATGGGGTTACTGGTGGATGAAAAGCTGGACGTGAGTCGGCAACGCGTGCTTGCAGCCCAGAAAACAAGTTCTATCCTAGGCTGTGCAAAAAGAATTGCAGCCAGCAGACGGAGGGAAGTGATTCTGCCCCTCTACTATGCTCTAGTGAGACCCCATCTCGAGTTCTGTGTGCAGTTCTGGGGTCCTCAGCACAAAAAAGGTATGGACCTGTCAGAGTGGGTCCAGAGGAGGGCCAACAAAACAATCAGAGGGCTGGAACACCTCTTCTCTGAGGAAAGGCAGAGAGAGTTGGTGTTGTTCAGACTGAAGAAGGGAAGGCTCTGGGAAGACCTTATTGTGGCCTTCTGAAAGTGCGATCAATCATTGGCTGCCATACTACTTAATCAAACTCATAATATCCTTTTTTTCCATCTTTGGAAGAAAAAAACAGAAAGGCAGCTTCATCTTCAAATATCTGTTACTGTGAAGTACAAGTAGCTTAATGATCACATGCCTCTATAACTTATATAACTTTGAGTGGTTATACCCTACTTATGTCTAGAAAGCTAAGAAGTTTCTCTCATTTGAGGTCCAAATCTGCACAGCACTTTATAACAAATCTGGTTTGAGCAATTACTGTACCTTTTGCTGCTCATTCCTCTCTGTCAATCCAATTTACTCTATCAACGTAAAGAGGGATTTGGGGTTGTTTTGGGGGCCTTTTTAGTTCTTGTTGTTTGGTTTTATTTTTTTATTTTAAGATCACTAATATTCACAGTGAAACAAACTGAAGGACAAAAATTCATAGCAGCAAAACTATTTTCAAAGAAATAGAAACCTGGAATTTCACCTTTATTATTTATGTTGTTTGCTTTGCAAGAACAATATATTTCAAATCCTTGTGATTCATGTTTGGTATTCATTCTCATATTGAATTAATTTCCAAATTAATCCTTGGGATTTATTCCACTCATGTTAAAAAAAATTAGTCAACATAATTTCATCTTTAGCCTCATTTAAAACTTGCAGTGTTTTCCTGCTTATTTTCTTAATAGTCACAATATGTTGTAAGATTACTTACTTCAGGCTGCTTTCTGACAGCAGGAGTAAATGATGATTTCTGAGATCCTAGTCTGCTTCTCCTATCAGAAGCAGCTGCCAGATCAGGAAACTCATCAGCATCCTAAACAAATAAATCAGAAGATGATTTTATGAGAACCGTCTAGTCCATATTCTCAAAACTGAGTTTTCCTACATTCAAATGATTTTCTCCCTGCTTATCAAACGTGCATCATAATTTGCTTCACTGTACAAAAATTCAGAAGCCAAGTGCAATGCCACCAACTAACTATAATAGGCACTACAATGGTTAGGTCATCTATGCAGCAGCTAGTTCAGGGCTGAAAGAGCTTACAAGAGAAATGCTTCCAACAGCAGCTTGCTATTGCTGTCAGCTGATACAAACAATTAGAGGTAAATGGCTCCTAAAGGAGTGTTTCTGAGATCATTTGCATTTGCCTTACAAACAACTTCCCTCTTCTTCCAGCACAGTCTCCAGCTGTGCAATTCTGCCTTAAACATGTGAGTGGTGAAGAACAAAAAAGGCAGGCAAAAGGGTAATAACTCTTGACTACAGCATGGAAATAAATAGATAAATCACTCAAGTGATTATGTAGGCTTAGACACAAGAGTAAACTCTATTAGCAGAGGATACATTATCCAGACACCAGATTAACTAAGTGCAGACAGGCTGGAGCTTGCTCTAAACTGGCCACCTTATATCCACTACCTCAATCATAATGATCCTGATTCACCAGCTTGGTTTTCATTTAACTGCTTCTCCTCCACTTTCTGAGAGGTCTTTTTAGCTGTGATACTATACTAGTGAATACACCAACACTTCTTTGGCAGCCCGAAAGGCTTCACTTAAACAGCCTAAGCTAGGAAGCTCTAGTATAAGGACAGACACATCTCACTCAATTAATTATTTTTAAAGAAGTTTGGAAGTATGCCAAAAGATGACTGCAAGAAAGGGAAAAATGTTTCACAAACACATTCTTACAGCTTAAGGACTTCTTGAATGAGAAGTTCAAATTTGAATAGCTCTCACTAGAGTAATTTTTTATTTTGGTCTGTCCAATCACTTCCTGAATTCAAATAAATTTCTCTCATTTGCAACCTTCTGTACCAAAATTAATAATTAAAATCTAGCACTCAGTGTGACGCTACATTTCCTTACACTTTCTCTTAACTCATCACCTATAAGACTCAGGGGACACCAAACAAAATCAGGAGAAAGATAAAATAATTTCCTTTTTATTCCCTTGTCACTTCTGATTCTCACTTAGTTCCCACAGACTGATAAGTCCTAGTTTATTCAGTCTTGCCTCCCACAGAAATTGCTTCATGCCTTTGATTATTTTTGGAGCCTTTTGTCTATATCTTTTTTAGTTCAAGTATGCACATTTTTTTAAGGACTAGGGGAAACACAAAACAAAATCCACACTAGATTTACATTGGACACATCTTGGATTTAAGAATTGTTATAATCCATTTCCTTTTCTATTCTCCTAATACTTCCCAGCAGTGTCTGCATGTTTGAACAGTACTACCAGTGCCAAGCTGATTAATAGGAGCAACTTCAATTTTTTTCCCCTAAGGGAAAATACGTAGCTCGGAGTTTACCACTGTGTATGGAAAAACAGGATTACTCTTCCCTAAATGCATCCATTTATGCTCATTAACAGTGTCTATAAATTAGTGACTTTTATAAAACTAGTAAGCAATCCAATATATTGCTCCAGGAAGTTGCTGCACATAGCAGAATCTTCTTAAATCATCTAGGTGCCCGGAAGTTCCATGTGTATGATCGTTTCATGCTATTCCATGTCAAGAGCATCATACAAGTGTTTCACCCATTCTTCAAAGTGATGAGCACAGAAGCACTCCCAGCAAATCAAGAGGGTCTGAAAGCTGTCCCTCACTGCCACAACAGATGCAAGATCTACCGGATTTATTTCTGTGAAATGTATATGTCCTGGTCCATTTTTCTATGCCATTTTTCTCAATTTTTATCTTCAATAGTTCCATTACCTTCCTACTATTTTGCATGACTCCTGCCTTTCTGTTTAGATGGCAAGTCACTCAGAGGTCAGACATCATATGGCAGCATACAGTATAAAAATGGGGATGTTCTCATGGGGGAAAGAACCTGCAGATCTCTGGTTCTACCCATAATTCTCTAACAGAGAGGTCTGTAAACAGTAATTTCTTGAGCTGTTCCAGGACAATGAACCACACAATGAAAAGAATGTGTAGCCACAGTTCTGCTCCATGTTCTGGGTTAAAATGCACACAGAACAGAAGCCAGCTAGGAAGTCTTCTTTGTGCCGTAATTTCACAGACTGAACATTATGCACCCTAGATCAAACATATACATCAACATATGTATATAGTACAGTACAATATCGGGCTTTCAATGAAGATGGTTAAACCACAGACCATACAATTCTCTAATGTAGGAGAGTTTAAAGCCTTCATGATACTGATACACAGAAGTATCAAAATAATATCCACATTACAGCTGTATGATTTTAAAAAAACCACCCTGGAATTAGCAATCACGAATGTAAGCAGTGAAAACTGGGTTCTAGAGTTTTTTGGAACTGAAATTGCTTACAGATGTGAGATGTGTAGAACTGTAATACCAATACCACATTCTTTAAAATTGTGGCACACTGGCACCCAGTATATTCCCCATCCCTTGGGCACTTTGCTTTCTGCAACAGTTACTACATCATATTTTTAATTTAGCAAGTCTGACTTTTACTGTTATGTGTTAACAACCAGACTCTCAGATGCATCATTCCAAATTTGCTCCTAAGTCTGTTCTGCATTCCTCTGTGCTCACTGAGTACACGATAAGTCAAAAGGCAAAACTGTTCCCTACCAGTAACTTCTGAAAAACACCTCAACTAAAAGGGACCTGAACCAATATCCTCTACAAATGAGATTTGAACTTAAATTTGTATAAAGCTGTGTTAACACCTGGTCTTCTAACACACTCATAACAGTTAAAAGAACAACAAAAATATCTTCACTGTACTTCAATCCTCGGTGGTTCCTGCATTGTTGTAGATTCATTTTGAGGTTTCTCTACATCAGTGGGTGACTTTGTTTTTTTCTTCTTTTTCTTCTTTTTCTTCTTCCTTTCTGACCCTTCTTCAGGCTCAGTTTCACTAGCGTCATTTTTTGTTTCTGATGGCTGAAAAAATCATAAGGCATGACCATTAGAAATTGATTTATTTGAATACCACCTACTAAAATAAATGCAAGTGACCACACTTAAACAACTAAAGGATATCTTAATCAATGCAGGCTAGGGCCTGCATTTGAAGCACATCACACAGCTCTCAGACAGTACTGGGACTACTGAGATTTCAG